CACCTTGGTGTCTCATTGTATAGCGTAACAATTCAATTTACTAACGGCTGCACAGTCTTCAAACAAAGGCCGTTCTTAATGATGTTCTTGGGTCTCTTAGATTTTGCAGGGTAATTTTATTAATGGAATCATTAACGTCAGTGTGTACTTCACAATACATTTCCAGGAAGCGTGAATCCTGATCAAAATGCCATTACGTCAGAATAGAGCTACGCCGTGCCGAAATCATTATCGTAGATCGAATGTATTCGGTTCTTGAGTTCTAACTCTATTCGTAAAAAGAAAAATGATGACAGTTTTGTTGTCAACATTGGTAAGTGGCGTGTACAGGGTAACACCCCCGGGGCAGTGACATACCATGCTGTAAACTGAGTGACGCACATGTTAACCTTATTCGTATTAGCGTCTACGATATACCCACCAGCTTTAAGTATGATTCTTTGCAGAAATGGTCTGACAGATCTGCCGCGAAAACTTAGTCATGGATGAATCTCTCGTTGACCCGGCCCTGTTTTATGGATGGGTAACTGTGAACGTCTTTTAAAGCAGCCTTTATAGTAACGCACTCAAAGAACCGGGAGAAACCATGGCCATGCTACCTGTTGACATGTAGGAAGAGAATATGCGACGGAAAGTAGTTCATCATCTGATATTGGATTCGTGGTGTGCTTAAGTGACCTTTTACGTAGTGGGAGATTTCAGCCGCTGTCGCAGGCACGGATGGGTTTACTTTATTGTCTTATTGTCTCTGATCATCTATATCTATATGCCTGGGTTTGAGTAGGTGTATGTGAAGGATGAGTTTTGTAGTTCGGCGGCTGTCTCTCTCTCTCTCTCTCTCTCTCTCTCTCTCTCTCTCTCTCTCTCCTGACTGATACTTAGAGGTCACTAGGACCGAAGTGAAGCATTTTTAGAGCCGCCCTTTGTTCTTTAAGTGTGGCGCTAGTTCAGGGTATGATTAAATTAAGTAAGGATGAAAAATTCGATGATTCTTAGGAAAAAAAGCAATGAAGCAAATATTGGAACAAGTGGGATCTTAGTATAGTGGCGATTACAGGGACACGTTTTTAGTTTCTAAACATATCTTCAATGTATTATTTTCAACTTCAGGGGAGATGCACTATTGTTTCGATTTATAATAGTGTAGAAGTTTTTTGACAAGATGTTATACCGTGCATTATATCTATTCATGTAATCAATTGAAATATTATGTAACATACATGCATATATAACAATTATTTCTTGTACATGTATAGAAAAGTCTCAAAAGCAATGGTATGGTGAGACGTGGTATGGTATGTTATGAAATGGTATGGTATGGTATGGCATGGTATGGCATGGTATGGCTAGGGATGAAATGGTGTGGTATGTTAAAATATGGTGTGACGTTAAACGGTTTATAAAGCTTTGGTATGGCGTGGCGAGGCATGGCATGACAAGGCATGGTACGGTACGGCACGGCACAGTACACTATGGTATGGCATGACATGCCAGGCAGGCACTGTATACTGTAGCTTGATATGGCATTATATGGTAAGGCATGGTGACATTAGGTATGGTGGAGTATGGTGACATTAAATGTGGTGTTATATAGAACAACGTGTTAAGGCGTATTGTGATATGTTATCTGGTAGTGTAGGATGGCATGGAATGTTACCTCGAAGGAAGTAATGTTTTCACCTCCATTTGCCTGTTTCTTTGTCTCTCACCAGTCTAACTCAAAAAAGTTATGGGTGGATTTTGATAAAATTTTTAGGATAGGTCGAAATGGGGTTACATTAAAGTGATTAGATTTTGGTGATGATATATTAATTATTTGGTTTATTATGATAATTTGCGGAATGATATGATAGGGAATACTATAATGTTATGCGTTGTGGTACTGGCATGGTATTGTGAGGTACAAGTATGGTACGATGTGGTAAGTGGGAGCATGGTGTTACACAATATGCTATAGTGGTATCTAGTGCGGAGTGCTGTGGCTGAGTGTGTCATTCCCGGGTGTGGTATAAACTACTTTGGAGGAATGCAGTCTGGAGTGGTTTTATTGGTGCGGTTTGGTGTGGCGTGGTGTAGATTTCCATGGTATGGTAAGGTGGCCATTTTTTATGTTTGTTTGTTTTTAGTTTGTTTTTTTTTTTCATGATATTTAAAAGATAATTATAACAAAGTATTGCTGTGTTAAATTTAGTTGTTAGGATCAGAAGTTGTATAAACCATATCATATAGTGCTGCAGTAACACTGTTATTTACGGCACAATTATTGGTCGAGTCGTGCATGGATAAAGAACAGGCAAGCTTCTTAAAACATATAAAGAATGCCTATAATGGGCTCAGTAATTCTGTTTATTTTGTCCATGTTTACAAATGGATAAACTGCGAAAGAACATGTATAATGGAGTAGGCATTTGCTCGAAATAAACCATTAGGGTAAACTTTTTTCTTGGTTTGTTCGGATACAACATCTTGAGGCACAAACACTTTCTGGTGACCTACCAAGGACAGACAGAAGGTTATAAGAAATTATTTACGACAAAAGGCTTAAGAAACGAAGCCAATGAAAGAGATGATAACCGAAGTTTTATTGGTTATTCATTGCCAACATTTACGTAACACCGCTTTGTTTAGATCAATATGTCGCATCCTGGGCATATCAGGGGCGGATCCAGAGCTATATACTGACAGTCTTCCAAATTATCTTTGTTGATTCATCCTCCAATTTTGACCGTCTTCCAACATTAAAAATTGGATACCCGTCAATGTAAACTTGAAAATCTGACCGTCTTCTGGAAGACCCAGAAGACGGCCTAAATCCGCCCCTGCATATGATTGATAAAATGTCGTTGATGAATTTATCCCATGTACCTTCATTTACATTGTGCTTATACATGTATCTCCTCGCGTATTATACAAGGGTACAGTGCCAATGAGGTGTAATGGTGCCTCTGTCTGACTGGATTCCCCAAATATATAAAGAGAAAAAAAGCACAAAAATGTCACTAACAACCAGAACACAGTGTGGTGGTGTCGATCCAGCCAATATAGATTATTTAAGTCGATATTATGAATACTGAGGAGATCGTACTTTCAACATGGCTTCAAATTACACAGGTAATAAATACTCTGTGACAAGTAATGTTTCCGTATGTTTTTATTAGGAAAGTTTCATGTATACCGGTTAGGAGATAAAGTGCCTTTGTTATTCAGTGTTACGTATGCGTTCGTACTCCTGGATAATTTGTGATATAGTCAGCAGGAATAGTAATTATCTCTTTCTAGTTAACAGCACTTATATTATAAATATCATCTTCCGGCCCATCCTTCATGACACTGTATGATAAATCAAGTGTAATCGAGTGAGAGTGTTTATGACTCTTATATCACCTAGTGGCCCTTAAAATAAATATGTCGTTATTACCTCTGAATTTACAAGCATACCCCAGCACACAATGGCGGATTTGGAAAACCAAGAAGCGAAATTTGGAAAAGATCGCACATTGTGGACATTTTGAAAGGGAATGCCTCTGTGATGTCATAAATGCCTATACTTTAGTTAAACCCATTTGAAATTACAAGCCAGCGTATGACCATGGAATCTATGACCCATGCCCATGGGCGCTGTACGCCAAGAGGAAATGATGGGACCTATATGTACGGCACGAACTCTCTGAACCCATCTTTGTACATACTTGTATCGTTTCATTGCACCAATCACGGGATGGCGCTGAGGCCTTAATAGAAACCTAATAGATGATGTCGACCAAATAGATGATGGGTCGAGATGAAAGAAAGTTCCTGTAAGGGATGATTGATGCAATGTCATGTATTAATGCATGGCATCAGTGGTTTTCTTTTATAAGTGTAAACATATCTTGCTGTTTCCATGTGTGTGTGTGTGCGTGTGTGTGTGTGTGTGTTTGACTAAGAGAGATCAAGGAAATGTAGAAAATGCTCCTTGAAATGGATTATGATCGCATATTTGACACATTCATACATGTGGATTTCATATTTTACATTCGTTTGAAGAAAATGTATCTACATCAACTTGTTTTCTTTTTATGCAAAAAAAATCACAGATTTTCACAGATTTTCACAGATTTGGGAAGAAAATTCAGTTCATCGTTTTCTGTATTTTGTATTATAAGAGATATCGTTTTTATTATTTTTCTTCATGTAAACAGTTGTATCAATTAACATTGCTCACTTGTTTTCAATTCCACATACATCAGACTACTAAATACATTTCTCAAACAAATCCGCTAATCTTTCTTTAAAACTCAGTACTTAAACATGTGTCAACTGCTTCTTGTCCCTTTGTCAAATGTCATTCGAAATTGCACTAAACAGCAGCACACTTACTTTCAATCTTTATCTCATTAAGATAAAGTAGTTTATGATTCCCCTCATCGTTAACACACGCCGAAGGACTATTTTATGATTTTCTTATTCCACACACTGCAGCGACAACCCATTAAATGTCATCTTGCAAATAGCATCCATTAGATGCCAACATCCAGACGCGTGCATGCGTCGTCAACTTCCGTTGGTGGAAATTCCGCGAGCGTACAGGATTCCCTGCAATATATCGCACACCGTGCACGGCTTCCAGGAAATCACTATGGTTCTGATGGAGATCGCGCAGCACAGATTTTGCTTCTTACTTGTTGCATAAATGCCCAGGTTTGGCTCGATGAATAGACGTGACATTTACCTAAGGCAGCTATCATCTGCAAGAAGTCTTTGCGTGTGGGTTGGTTGGTTAGATTACCGGGGACCGAGACAGAAAATACCACTGTTGTTCTCCCAGGTCTACATTGATATCATCCTCGTAGAAATTAGCGACAAATAATCACATACTGTAAGGAAACACATGTATTTAAAAAAACAGTGACTGGTTACCTACTTTTTGGCATTAATGCGGGTATATAAAGCGACACGATGAGACAACGGCTCGCGGAAGATTGTATTACTCTTACGGTCATTATTCTTTATTCCTGTAGGCAGCAGGCGAAAGCAGCAGCCAAGATCCGTTAAGGCAAACGGCGGTATGTTTGGCACAGCTGGGAGATCGGCAGCACGCAGACGATCTTCACTAGCTGGTTTAAACAACTACAGTCCGTCCCTGTTCACAAGACAACTTGGGAATGTCCCCGAGGGCGCAGACGCGGGCGTCGCGTACCGGTCTATGCAAAGAAGAAGAGCGGTCAACACATCGGATTTACGCACATGTGCCCTCGTACAAACCAAACTCAAGACGCTCAAAAACTCCCCTTATCATGGGTAAGTATAAGCAATTGCTTTTGATTTGGTTGACAGTCATTTATATGTATATTAATAAGATTACACTACAGTAACGAAGATAAAAAGGGAAAATTTTTTTTTTCGTGTGTCTGGATCTTGAAACCCTGTTTTTCAAATCAAAACGGTTGATTTTAGTCATGTAAACACTGTCAAATGCCTCCTGTGACATACAGTAACCTTACGTGTAGGTTGATATGATACTTCTAGTATTAAGATTACAGTAACAAAGATAAAAAGGGAAAGTATTTTTTTCGTGTGTGTGTGTGTGTGTGTGTGTGTGTGTGTGTGTGGATCTTGAAACCATTTGTTTTTTAAAGCACCTTGCTTGATTCTTGTCATGTAAACACTGTATAATGCATCCCGTGACATACAGTAACCCTACATGTAGGTTGATATATATGACACTTCGCGTCTTTTCTGCCCTTAAGTAAGAAAAAAGGGCTCACCTACACTTTCATAAAGGCGGTCAATACATCAACCTAGATTAAAACCCGACCAAGGCAAAGTATGCCTTCTGAGTGCCATAGAATACATGTAGAACCTGGAATTGTTTTTTTAGTAAAAATAAATAGTGCTTGCTATTTCAAAGGAAATATATTTACACGTTTTGCATTTTGCTAAAAAAAAATCCCTAAAAAGGTAAAATGCATGTTCATTTTTTGCAGCCACAGAAAAAAATTAAGACAGTCATGGACTGATTTTGGGGGAGTATTTGTGTAATATTTCTATAAAGAAGGATACCAATGCACTTGTTCAAATCTAACAAAATAAGAAGAACATAAATATTTAATTGATCGAAATTGCATGTTTGAAGTTGAAAGTACACACAGAATGAAGTATACAGGTAGTAGACTGTGACTGACTAAACGAACACAATCCCGATCATATTGCATTGACTTACAGGGAAACAAAGGGAGCCATGCGGCAATCTATTTTTCATCTTTTTCAGCGTTTCAGTTGTTGATGAATTACTACCAAACAGGTTACACAAAGAAGCAATTATGGAAAGAATCTCGGTTAAAACATTATAGCTTCTCGCTTGTTGCAGATGCCGGTGTTCTGAAATGTATTATGGTGGCCTATTTACACCGTAATTGTTTGCATTAGTAGGCTTTGTATTTCTTTTTATACTTTCCGTAAATGGTCAACTCTTATCAAATGTCCATGCTACCGTTAGTAAAACGCGTTTTCCGCTATAAAACCAGGTGCTTTGTAGTGAATTTCAAGCCGAATTGTTTGCATAAAATGGATTAGAACCCATATACGGTACTTTCCTTTTGGTGACCAATGCCAACTTTTGAAAACTCAGATACATCAAGCTGAAAAAAAGCTTCTGAATGGGGTTGGAAGTTGAACTTATCTTAGCCAGTAAACCCTTCATACGCCCTGAAAAGGAGGAAATTATTACAGCGTTGCAAAATAGGTGACAAAGATCCATCATACGCGTGTTCAGAGAGATGTTGATATTTGTCACGTGATTTGAAAAAACTAAAAAAAAGCATTCCGAGACATCCGCCAAAACAAATAATTCACAAGCAATTTACCTTTATTTAATAAGTGGATCATCACCAAAATGTAATCTCTTTTAAGTTACCCCATTTTGTGACCTATCCTTTTCATCACAACCTATCCGTAGCTTTTTGAGTCAGGCTGGTAAGGAACAGACGGAGGTGAAAACATAACCTCCTCGACAGAGGTAATAACAGTTCGCGTTAAGCCATGCGCAGTAGAGCCCCCTTTACACTGGACGGCGTCCTTTTTGCGTCCTGTAGTACGGCACCATTTGGGAATAAAAAAAATGATACTTTACGTGCCGACAACTGGCCAAAATTGAGCATTCATTTTGCAACCAAAGCTATGCTTGTGTCTCCTTTCTACGACCACAGTTATGCCAGTTTCATGGTGGCACAAAGGACGCATAAAGAAAGCCGTCCAGTGTAAAGGGGGTTTAAGGAAAATGATGATCTTACAGAAGTTGACTTGACTTTTGCGAAAATAAACCACAAATGCATTACACCACGTAACATAATAAAAAGGAAATGTATATAATTCTCTTTTTTCCAATTTGTTTTCCTTTAAAGCGTAGCATACATCATCCAGCTTGATCTCAAATGTCAATGATTACTTAGAAACCACGGCGCCCCTGAGAGACACGGGTATTTCAGATAAAAACGGCTGTTTTCTCGTTTACCGTCCTTTATTCTTCGTCTGTTATTGCCCTAAATCACAAAATTGCTCATACCCAGACAGAGCGGTTGTGATTAACCGCCGCACTGTTGCGACAAGAAAAGGGCAATTGTTGCCTTAGACATGTGGCCGTAGTGAGGTAAAACTGCCTTAAGTGACATAAACTAAACCATTACCAGTCCCCATAAATGTCGTATATCTGATCCATTAGGAAACATACTTCCCTTCTTTACCATGCCTTTATGAAAACCTCTTTCGTATTGCTCTGGTGCCTCTCACGGCCTGCGTTTAATATGTGATCTTACGTGTCCCTAGTGTGGCCCTTTAAAGATTATCCGGGGTACAAGATTGGGTCATAAATCTTCCTCCATTTCGTGGAGAAGAAATGCTCACGGTGTTTTGTATGGCACGTGGACTAAACGGTGCGCCATTTTTTTTTTTTTTTTTGAAGTTGGCAAGAGCGATGCGACATGATACTGCCTACATCTTTTCAATGAGATTGAAAATCGATTGAAAACGGATGGAGCGGCAATTCATTTGCTTCACACAGGTGTTGACAACCAACTGTAATAAAGACCGTATGCATGCTTGCTGAAGTAATCATATTTTTCATGCATGGCTCTAATGTAAAGGTTTAACCCGTCTTGAAACCGCTGCACTGTGAATAAAAGGATAACAGAGATGTGTGGTAATGGCTTTTGACATTTTTGTGCCTTGGTTCAAACAACAGACTTCCATTTGAATTGTAAGGCGCGTCAGCTACGGAAATATTTGATTTATCGTCGTATACAATTCGGGCCAACTATAAAGACACTTCGAATCAGTTTGTTTCATTTTAAGATTTTGCGAATGCGATGCCATTCAATTCTTAACCATTTTCCTCATAATCAAATCAGCTCCAGTCAATTACAGAGGCACGCCGTCTGTTGTAATAGCGCATCATAATTAAGGACAGCTGCGTATTCAACTTGCAAACTTACACAGCCATGAAAGCTAAACCGAACCTCAAATCTTTTGTTGACGCTTGCAATGATTTGCTACTAGGATTTCATGTTTACTCATATTGCAATACATTTATAGCTACATTGAGATGACATTGGCGTGAAATGCATGCATTTCAATATTTCCGAGTTAGTCAGTATTTTATTTATTTATCAGTTTTCATTTATTGGTGTTTTTCTGTAATTTGTCGTTGCGCGGCGAGAAATGCTCCGATTGCGTAAGATCAAGAACTCGACTAATATAGTGTCACATTGTACAGTACCAGTAAAACAGCAAATGTACAGGTTGTACAGGTACTTCATGCATTCTGCAAAAGGCAATTATCCTTAAGAAGGGGTAAAGGATTGGTACTCACGCCTCCTGCAACCGCTTAAGGTTTTAATTTGTCTATATCTTAAAATTATATGGCGCGTTATGACGTTAATTAAAGACTCGTGGATCTTGAATGAAGCCTCGTTGGGAAGTTAGATTGGCGAAAAGATGGGCTACTTGGGCGGAAGAGTGAAAGACCTTAATTTGCTCTATAAAAATGTGCTCCAATAACTTGCCTTTTGTTATGTCTACGTGATTTACGTGTTGTTAAAATCGTGAATATTTAAACTAATAGTGTGATCCTTTGACATCAACAAGCTGTTCAGAAATCAAGCAAAACAAACCAAAAATAGTCTCAAAAGTGAGACGCATGAATATATGTGTGTGGGTGTGTGTCAGTCTGAATTCAAGTCCAGACAGATGTAATTTATCTGTATTGGATAATATGTGTGCATAGAAAAACAGTACCCCAGCCAGCCATAATACATTCCTTCTACACTATAGCTAATAAGTCCCCGGNGACAATTCATTTGCTTCACACAGGTGTCGACAACCAACTGTAATAAAGACCGTATGCATGCTTGCTGAAATAATCATATTTTTCATGCATGGCTCTAATGTAAAGGTTTAACCCGTCTTGAAACCGCTGCACTGTGAATAAAAGGATAACAGAGATGTGTGGTAATGGCTTTTGACATTTTTGTGCCTTGGTTCAAACAACAGACTTCCATTTGTAACATGCTTTGAATTGTAAGGCGCGTCAGCTACGGAAATATTTGATTTATCGTTGTATACAATTCTGGCCAACTATAAAGACACTTCGAATCAGTTTGTTTCATTTTAAGATTTTGCGAATGCGATGCCATTCAATTCTTATCCATTTTCCTCATAATCAAATCAGCTCCAGTCAATTACAGAGGCACGCCGTCTGTTGTAATAGCGCATCATAATTAAGGACAGCTGCGTATTCAACTTGCAAACTCACACAGCCATGAAAGCTAAACCGAACCTCAAATCTTTTGTTGACGCTTGCAATGATTTGCTACTAGGATTTCATGTTTACTCATATTGCAATACATTTATAGCTACATTGAGATGACAGTGGCGTGAAACGCATGCATTTCAATATTTCCGAGTTAATCAGTATTTTATTTATTTATCAGTTTTCATTTATTGGTGTTTTTCTGTAATTTGTTGTTGCGCGGCGAGAAATGCTTCGATTGCATAAGATCAAAAACTCGACGGAATTCTACGTTTATGATGTACTAATTTAGTGTTACATTATACCAGTAAAACAGCAAATTTACAGATTGTACAGGTACTTCATGCATTCTGCAAATGGCAATTATCCTCACGATATTAAGAAGGGGTAAAGGATTGTTACTCACGCCTCCTGCATCCGCCTAAGGTTTTAATTTGTCTACATCTTAAAATTATATGGCGCGAAATAACGTTAATTAAAGACTCGTGGATCTTGAATGA